CCTCGCGGAGGTCCCCGGAGGACTCCAGAGACCGTCGCGGGGCCTCTGGAGCACCCGGAGGCCCTCCGAGACCCCCACGATCGGTGCGGTGGTGTACGGTCGGCGCCCCCCTTGCCGCTGGCGGTGGGTGCCGACAGCGCCGACGTCGCCGACACCCGCCGCCGCCGTGGCCGTCGTCGTCGTCGCCGCGCCGACCTGGCCGTGGCCGTGGCCGTGGCCGTCCTGGCCGGCGCCGCGGCCGACGTCGTCGTGTCCGTCGCCGTCGTCCGTGGCGCCGTCGTCGGCGCCGCCGGCCGCCACCCGGAAGCCGCGCCGCCCGCCGCACCGCGGAGGCGCCGCCCCCGGGCCCGGCGCTCGGCGGCCCTCCCGAGAAGCCCGCGGACGACGAGGAGAGCGGGCGCGGCCCGCGCCGCTGCGATGGGGGGGGGGTCGGGGCGGGTGGAGGCTCCTCCTCCTCCTCCTCCTCCTCCTCCTCCTCCCCCTCCTCCTCCTCCTCCTCCTCCTCCTCCTCCTCCTCCTCCTCCTCCTCCTCCTCCTCCTCCTCCTCCTCCGGCGGCGAAGTCCGAACCAGTACCCTTGCTGATCAACGATTCAGGCAACCCCACGGGCTGCGGGGTAGGCTTTTGAGTTTGTCGAGCACGCGGCGAAGTCCGAAGCCTATCCTCCGCCCCCCATCGACTAAGGAGAACCGATGGCTGGCCGAGGTTCGGATTCGGGCGTCGTCACTCTTTGAAAACGAGAAGCCCGTCCCAGGGGATGGGTCCAGACCTACAGGGGTTCGCGCTGTGAAGAGTCCACGGCGTCGGAGTTCTGGGTTCAGCAGGAGAAGAGCATTGATTGCTGTGACCGGTGTCATTGATTGTTGTTATCGTTGCCATCGCTCCGATCGTTGTTATCGTTGTCATCGTTATCGCTGTGCTCGTCGTGATCGCTGTGATCGTTGTGGTCATTGTGATCGTTGTGATCGTCATCGTTGGGGTCGCGCCGTGAAGAGTGCACGACGTCGGAACTCTGGGTTCGGTTTTACTTTCTGGCGCGGTGATTTTATGTCGGGCCCCTGTCCCCCTCCAGGGTGATGAATACCCCACAAATAATAAAAAATAATCCAAAAACAGTCCAAGGACTTTTTTTGACTATTTTTGGACCTTTGGGGGGCCTTTTTTTTTCGTCGAAAATCCCCCTGTAGGGGGACGCGCCCGACATCACGGTAATTCAAGCCGGCGGCGGGTCCGCCGGCGAAGTGTCCCGCGGACAGCTTGCCGGCGCCGCTCGCCGTCCGCTTAGCGATGGCGATTCGCTTCGCCGGCTTGGGCCACTAGGGGGCCACATGCGAACCCTACCCCTCCTCCTCCTCCTCCTCCTCCTCCTCCTCCTCCTCCGCCTCCTCTCCTCTTCCTCCTCCTCCTCCTCCTCCCTCCTCCTCCTCCTCCTCCTCCTCCTCCTCCTCCTCCTCCTCCTCCTCCTCCTCCTTCTCCTTGAATGACGAGGGCCCCACCCCTGCCCCCCACAATTTCTGAGGGGGAGGGTGGGGTTCACTTTGTTCGGGAGCTCCCGAGCGAAGTGAACCCCACCCTCCCTCTCAGAAAGCGTGGGGGGTAGGGGTAGGGTTCGCATGTGGCCCCCTATCTATAGCGCGGACCTCGGTGACATGTGGGATGCGCGAAGGGCTCGCGACCAAATGGTCGATGTGGGAGCTGCCCTGATTAGGCGCGCAGCTGTAAGTCGCGTCGGACTCGATGATGTGTCCGCCGATCTTCTTCAGGTGAGTCGACCGTGCCATTGATCGAACTCCAGTGCTCGAGTCGCCCACTACGCACCAAGGCAGACGAAGGCAACTAATGAAAGCTCCAAGTCGCGACAGACGCCCCGCGTTGTCGCCGCTGAAGCCCCCTAGCCACGATTCCGATTTGGTGCGACTCGCTGTCGCGGCAGGACATTCGGGGGCGGGCGGAAGCCCAATCTGCTTCCGACGCCTTCCTGCTGAATGTTTCTGCCCATTTCTTCCGACCGGCGTGTACCTCACCGATGCTGGTCGGGCCGGTCTTGGGCACAGGATGCGCGTGGCTAGGATCGGGGAGACGTCCCCCGACAAGCCGCAGCACCACGCGCGTGGCAGCATGAAGGAGCCACGTGGGAGCCTGGTGTACCCGCTTCATTCCGTCCTTCGCGTCTTTTAGCGTCGATCAGCGTCTGCGAGTCGATGGGATGGCGCCGAATTGGCGTCGGTTAATTAGCGTCGATTCAGCGCTGAGTAGCGTCGATCAGCGTCGATTCGCAAGAGCCGACAAGATGGTATCGGAGGCTCCCATGAGTTGCCACCACAGCTGGCCGGGGCCACGATTCCGATTCGGTTCTATCTGTTGTCGTCGGCCGGCGGCCAGGGCCAGGTCTCGATCCGTTTCGGGACGATCCGCTGGCGATCCGGTTCGATGCCGATCCGAACCGGCACCGCGATTCGGTCCAGCTCAGGCCTGTCGGCGGAGGGCGGGGGAAAGGATCGGGCCGGGCGAAAGGGGGGGATGGGGAAAGGGGGGGTGACGAAATCTGCTGCATGCAGCTGGTTTCGGCCCCACCGAGGGGCCGATGCCTCGATACATGGCCGCCTCCTGGCGCCGGGAGGCGCCGGGAAAATCAGCTGCGTGAGCTGATTCTCAAACCCCCCTTTGCTATCCCCCCCCTTTCGCCCGACCCGAAAGTAGGAGTGACGCGTTAACATTTTTGAATCAGGAGAGGAAAAAACACACAGACACAATTAATCCTCGATCCCCCCAAAAATATGGGAAAATATGGGGAGTGGGGGGGGAGACAAAAACCCAGAAAATATGGGAAAATATGGGGAATGTTTTTATTTGTGTGTATTTATTTTGTGGGTCCTGGGGCCCCTTTATTGAAGCCAGGGCTCGTGCGGCGGAGCGCGCGGGTGTCGGTCACCGCGGCTTGGCGCCCCCGGGGGGCCTCCACAAGTGGAGAGGCGCCGCGCGCTGGCTCGCCCGAGGCTTTGCCCCCCCGCTTTGGTGCAGTCAGGGAAGCATCTCAGCAGGAGAAAAAACACACAGACACAATTCATCGCCGATTCCCGAGGAAATAGGGGAAAATATGGGAAGTGGGGGGGAAGACAGAAAGCCAGAAAGCATGGGAAAGTATGGAGAATCCTGTTCTTTGTGTGTACTTGTTTGTGTGTCCTGGGGTCTCGTCACTTTGTTCAGTCAGGGAACCAGAACCCCCGAACCAGAATAATACATTCAGGGATCACGGATGGATCATTTGCTCTGTTGCACCTGCAAAGAAAGACACCCTAGTCCTGATGCTGTGGGTCTCCTGAATTAGATCTCTCCCAGAGGGCTAAGCGTCTGGTCATTGCAAATCATGTGTTTCCACGCGTGCGCAAGTCGCCAATTCTCTTGACCCCCCTGGGAGTCAGCGGCGCCCCCGATTGGCGGGCATCCGAGTGTCATCTCGCCTCGTTGAGGGGTGCTGCCAGGCGTCTCGGTTGGTTGAGCTCGCGCATCCTGAATGGGGCGCCTGTTTCTCGGAGCAACATCGCCCGTAACCCGCACACCCGCAACCTAGTTCCTCCGCCGACGCGCTGATCCAGTCGCGTATTGCGATGCGTCGGGGTGCAAGCAGCGAGTTGCACACCAGGCTTATGCGGTAGCACACCCGCACCTACACACATTCAGGCATTCGCGTAAACACACGCCACGATCATCTTCCCCATCAATATGGTCGTCACCAGCATATCCATCACTATATCCATCATCCTCACCAGCATCACGATCATTGCCATACACGTGACCATCATCGCTGCCGCCATCATATCCACCCCCATCATATTCACCACCACCACGACATTACCATCACCATCACCAGCATCACCATCACCATCACCATCACCATCACCATCACCATTATCATCAGCATCGTCATCGTCACCATCACCACCATCATCATCAACATCACAACCATCACACCACCACCATCACCACCATCATCGACACCGTCATCAGCATCATCATAACCATCACCGTCAGCACCCTCATTATTATTATTAGTATTATTATTACTCTTCGTATCCTCATTGTCATCACTATCATCACCACCATCATCACCATCTTCGTCATCATCACTGTCGCCGCCATAATCATCATCACCATCATCATCAAAATCATGGAGCCCCTCCCAGTCCGACGCGATCGATCGATACAGACCAATCGGATTCGGCCCATTTCTAATCAGTTCTTTGATTCGGAGGGATTGCAGGCCCCGGCCACGCATACTTTGAGTAGCCAGATGTCGCAGCCCCCAGGCCATTCCGAGTTTGAGTGCCCGCACATTTGGATCTGGAGCGATCTCAAGCCTGTATGGGTTCTCTGATTGACAGACCTTCGCCTGGGTCTCGAAGACACGTCGCTCGCGTGAGAGCCGAGTATTCTAGCTTTGCCAGACCATAGCCGCACTGACATTTTCACATGCATCTTTTGAAGCAGTCCAGGGAGCCGAGCGCTCCCTCGGAGCACCATCAGTGGAGACTGAGGGGCTCGCTGCGCCGCCGTGCGCTTCTGCGTGCTGCTGCCGCCCGTGTCCATCACGCCCCTCCTGCTCCCCCCTTCGACGTCTTGCTCCACCTCCCCCTCCAGGTCCTGAGGGGCCGGGTGCCCAGAGGACCTGCCCAACATCAGCATCCGGCTCGCTCCGATGCGGAGTGGCCCCGAGAGGGCCCGCGACCCGCCGCCCCCGAGGTTCTGAGCGGCGCCGGGGGCCCGGAGGACCCGCCCGATGAGAGAGTCAAGCAGATACCTGCCCCGGGTTTGGCGACCCGCCGCCGGGTGGCCAGGGGCCCCGAAGGCCCCCTGCCCCGAAGGGCGTGTTGTTGCGCATTTCTGTGGACCTTTTCGGTGCAGTTTTGGGGTATTTTTTTTATTTCTCGTCGAGAATCCCCCATGTATGGGGGACACGCCCGACTCCATGGCAGGCCCCCCCCCCCCCCCCCCCCCCCGCAGGCCCGATCGGCAAGTTCTCCGTCGGCCGCTTCTGGTGCTTCGCCGTGCGCGCGCGCGACCGCACCCTGGGCCGGGACCGCCGCCTCGCGCCGTGCGGCCCTGGCGGCGGGGCTCGGCACGAACGGGCTGGGCACGGCAAGAGTGGGCGCAGTGCCGTTTTCAATACAATGCTCCGCGTGCGGATCGCGTATTGGACATGCAGGGATTTCGTATCAAACACCGCGAGGAGTTCCTGCATGCAGTTATGCATCACTTAAGCATGTGCTAGAACATCAGATGTGTTTTAGATTCCTGTGTCTTAAAGACTGCCCTGTACAATGCCCAACAGCGGATCCTGTTCCTTCTGAACAGGGCTCGCTGTCCACGCCGCCGCGGCCTGTGTTCGTTCGAGACAGGAGGCCGCCTGCCCAACAGCGGCCGCTGTTGGTTCGGGACAACATTTGCTGTTGGGTACTGTGCCCATTCTTTCCGTGCCCATTCCGGGCGTCCAAAGGCAGGGCGGCCATGTCCGCACAGAAGTCTGGGCCCTTGACACAGTCGGGGCGCTGAGGAAGAAACCTTTTCGTTGGGGAAGTGCTTGGTGTTCTTTGATCGTTTCACAGCTTGGCTCAGGTTTTCCTCAAGCTCTCGATGGGAGACCGAAGTTTAACCTTTGGAAAAAGGGGCCTCGTTTCTTATTTAGGGTTCCTTAGGTCAACGCCTCGTCTTTAGTCCTTTGGTCTCATCGTGCCGTATGATAGGTTGCAACTTCTGGGAGGTCGGATTCAGCGTCGGTGCTGGGGCACCCGTGGTCGAAAGTTGGCCTGATCCAGCCAGATCCCGCTTCGTCCCGCTTGATTCCGCTGAACCTGGCCCCATCCACTTCAATCCTGGCCTTCATCTGGGCTAATCTGGTTGAGTGGCCTCGTCAATCGGGTTTCGCAGCCATCGATCTTTCCCACGAAGGCCCACGGACGACGCGGGCGACTTGTGTGCCCCGTACCGCGTTGGTGTCTTCCAAGGCGTTGTCGACCCTCGACCCAGGAGCGGCACGGTGCACATTTTTTGCTCGGACCCCCAGGGCCGAAGAGTTACGCACCGACCGCGTTGGAGCGGGGCCTGAAGGCAGTGCAGACATGATACGGTGCACGGGCGCAGTGCTCGTACCTGAGTCGGTTTCTCTTCGGGGAACGAAACAGGGACAACATATGACAATTCGGAGGCCCGCGCGGATGTCAGGGATCCGCGCTGGACTCACCCTCGCCTCGCTTTCGCCCTCTTTGGGCCTCGTGGGGGGCTTTCGTCGCCACTGCTGGATCCGCTTCGAAATCCTGGTCACAACGCCCTCCAGGAGCGGTATGGGGCCTGGCATCGCTCGGACGTGTGTATTTCCCAACCATCCTGTGGTGTTGGGTCCTCGTTTTGAAGAGACAGCGCCCGCGTCCTCACTCCTCTCCTCCTCCCCCCCTCCTCCCCCTCCTCCCTCCTCCCTCCTCCCTCTCATCATCATCATCATCGTCATCGTCATCATCATCAGCACCAACATGGTCGTCATCATCACCATCACCCTCCGCATGCCTCTATTTCGGCACACCCATCACACGGTTCGTGGCCCCGTAGGGAGCTCCACCGAAGCCCCCAGTGGCAGGGTTCGCATGGCGGCCCCGCCCCATTTTGGCGCACCCCTCACACGGTTCGTGGCCCCATAGGGAGCTCCACCGAAGGCCCCAGTGGCAGGGTTCGCATGGCGGCCCCGCCCCATTTTGGCGCACCCCTCACACGGTTCGTGACCCCATAGGGAGCTCCACCGAAGGCCCCAGTGGCAGGGTTCGCATGGCGGCCCCGCCTCATTTTCGCGCACCCCTCACACGGTTCGTGGCCCCATAGGGAGCTCCACCGAAGGCCCAGTGGCAGGGTTCGCATGGCGGCCCCGCCTCATTGTGGCGCACCCCTCACACGGTTCGTGGCCCCATAGGGAGCTCCACCGAAGGCCCCAGTGGCAGGGTTCGCATGGCGGCCCCGCCCCATTTTGGCGCACCCCTCACACGGTTCGTGGCCCCATAGGGAGCTCCACCGAAGGCCCCAGTGGCAGGGTTCGCATGGCGGCCCCGCCTCATTTTCGCGCACCCCTCACACGGTTCGTGGCCCCATAGGGAGCTCCACCGAAGGCCCCAGTGGCAGGGTTCGCATGGCGGCCCCGCCCATTTTGGCGCACCCCTCACACGGTTCGTGACCCCATAGGGAGCTCCACCGAAGGCCCCAGTGGCAGGGTTCGCATGGCGGCCCCGCCTCATTTTCGCGCACCCTCACACGGTTCGTCGCCCCATAGGGAGCTCCACCGAAGGCCCCAGTGGCAGGGTTCGCATGGCGGCCCCGCCTCATTTTGGCGCACCCCTCACACGGTTCGTGGCCCCATAGGGAGCTCCACCGAAGGCCCCAGGGGCAGGGTTCGCATGGCGGCCCCGCCTCATTTTGGCGCACCCCTCACACGGTTCGTGGCCCCATAGGGAGCTCCACCGAAGGCCCCAGTGGCAGGGTTCGCATGGCGGCCCCGCCCCATATTGGCACACCCCTCACACGGTTCGTGGCCCCGCAGGGACATAGGGAGCTCCACCGAAGGCCTCAGTGGCAGGGTTCGCATGGCGGCCCCGCCCCAGTGTGGCGCACCCCTCACACGGTTCGTGGCCACATTGGGAATTCCTTTTGCTTCGTCCCACCTGCCCTGCGGTATTCACGTTTGCATATGGTTGAGTCCTTCGCCAGGATAATTTTTTTCGGCGAGAACCATCGAGGACCATCCTGGACCATCGAGCCAACAAAAACACGCACGGAACCGAACAATGCACGGGAGATGGACGTCCGAGCGATGGCCAGGGGGAGGAGGAGGACGAGGAGGAGGAGGAGGAGGAAGAGGAGGAGGAGGAGGAGCAGGAGCAGGAGGAAGAGGAGGAGGAGGAGGAGGAGGAGGGAGGAGGAGGAGGAGGAGGAGGAGGGAGGGAGGAGGGAGGGAGGGAGGGAGGGGAGGGGGAGGGAGGGAGGGAGGGAGGGAGGGAGGGAGGAGGGAGGGAGGGAGGAGGAGGAGGAGGAGGAGGAGGAGGAGGAGGAGGAGGAGGAGGAGGAGGACGAGGAGGGGGAGTCCTGGGATCGGTGCCTCCTGGTTTGCCCGGTCGCAAGCTCGGCCCTCGGGCGGCCGCTCGGGCCGAGGGCCGGGCACCACCCCAGGCGGCAGCTCTCGGCGGGGCGCGGCTGCCGGAGCGCGCCCCGAGGCGAGCAAAGGCAGGCTCCCAACAGCGGGGGCGGCCAAGAGGGGGGTGATGGCAAGGGGGGGGGGATATCGTGGCGCGGGCCATGATATTTCCCCAGATTTCATGGCGCCTTGCACCCCCCCGTCTTGGGCACCCCGAGGCAGGCAAAGGCAGGCTCCCAATAGCGGGGGCGGCCAAGAGGGGGGTGATGGCAAGGGGGGGGTGTGGATATCGTGGCGGGGGCCATGATGTTTCCCCAGATCTCATGGCGCCTCTGCTTGGCCCATTGCGTCCCTGGCCCCCCCCCCGCCGGGCCGCGCACATGCCGCCGGTCATGATTTGCACCCTCTCCCCTCTTGGACACCCCCCTCTTGGCCGCTCCCGACAAAAGCGAGCGAGCGACGCTTCTTCCAGTGACCAATGCGGTTGCCACTCTCGGGATTTGGAATTCAGCGCCCGCGCTGGCACATCCGTGATCGAAAACTTGCCCAGTCCGGAATTTGCCCGCCCAATTCCGCTCAGTCTTGGGCTGATTCCAGCCTGATTTTCCTCAGTGCCCCGTAATTCTGGATGTAGGAAAGTCTGGTATAAAGGGGTGCGGTCTTTATATGATGTAAATGCGAATCTGGCGATGTTATTTATCGCAGATAGCACCGCTGTTTCCACGATTGGCACCATACCCTTTATGCCACACTCCTTTCCGACCTCCAAACTAATCGGGACCAGCACATTTGCTAGTCTGACGCAGCCCTCCCAAAAGACAGCCTTGGCTTTGGCGCAGCGATTTCGTAATTGCGGGGTGCCCGCTCACAGAGGCGGATGCCCTGGAAATCGTAGGGGGCTGCCCTGGGTGCCCTGAACGCCCCGGCCATTCGGCACGATGGAGAATGATTCTGCCACGCCTTCAGGACATGTCTCGTTGTGCGCTCCGCCTGTAGGCTCTCTCCCCCGCCGTAGGGTGCTTGGCTAAACGTGGCGGACAGAGCGTGGAGCTCAACTAGAGCGCCCCGCCGCCACGCCCGAGGACTTCCGCGGCGGCACCCGCATGGGTATCGTCGCGGTGCCGCCGAGGCCGCCGGTGCCGGACAGCCTCCTGGTGCAGCCAGGCGTGGCCGCACCGCGGGCGCTACAGCTTCGGGCGGCGCCGAGGATCGGGGTCGGGCGAGAGTGGGGGATGATGATGATGCTGCTGCTGACGATGATGCTGATGATGCGGCTGATGATGATGATGGTGATGATGATGCTCTTGACGATGAAGCTGATTATGATGATGGTGCTGACGTTGATGAGGATGCTGGCGATGATGATGCTGATGCTGAGGAGGATGATAATGCTGATGGCCATGACGACAACGACGACGATGATGTTGATGATGCTGACGGTGATTGAAATTAAGATGACGACGGCGATTGTGCTGATGCTCATGATGCTGGTGTTGACGCGGATGCTGACGTTGATGTTGATGTTGTTGATGATGATGAGGAGTATGAATATGATGGTGCTGATGATGTGGATGATGATGCTGAGGATGATGCCGCTGCTGATGCTGATGATGGAGACGATGCTGCTGCTGCTGATGATGATTACGAGGAGGCGGGTGCTGCTGCTGATCATGATGATGATGACGACGATGATGCTGCTGATGCGCTGCTGATGATACTGAACCTCATGATGATGACGATTGTGATGATGATGTTGATGCTGATTCTGTTTGTGATAATGATGACGATGATGACGATGATGACGATGATTGTGATGATGCCGATGGTGATGATGAAGATGAGTATGATGATGCCGACGATTATGATGACGATGCTGGTGATGCTGATTCGGATTAACTATGTTGATGATGTTGCTGTTGTTTGCGATGCTTATAAAAAGGTGTTGATGACGATGATGACTATGATGATGATGCTGATGCTGATGATGGTGGTGATGATGCTGATGATGATGCTGGTGTTGTTCATGATGATGCTGATGCTGATGGTGATACTTGCGAATATGATGATGATGCGGCTGATAATGATGATGATCGTGCTGCTGATGACGATGATAAGCTGGTGATTGTGGTGGTGGTGGTGGTGATGATAATGATAATGATGATGGTGATGATGATGATGATGATGATGATGATGATGATGATGATGATGATGATGATGATGGTGATACTGTCACTGACGATGGTGGTGATGATGATGCTGGTGGTGTGATGGTATGATGATGCTGATGATGAGGAGGAGGAAGAGAAGGAGGAGGCGGAGGAGGAGGAGGGGAGAGGGGGAGGAGGAGGAGTGTGAGGAGGGGGAGGAGAGGAGGAGGAGGAGGAGGAGGAGGAGGGGAGGAGAGGAGGAGGAGGAGGAGGAGGAGGAGGAGGGAGGAGGAGGAGGGAGGAGGAGGAGGAGGAGGAGGAGGAGGAGGAGGAGGAGGAGGAGGAGAGAGGAGGAGGAGGAGGGAGGAAGGAGGAGGAGGAGAGGAGGAGGAGGAGGAGGAGGAGGAGGAGGAGGAGAGGAGGAGGAGGAGGAGGAGGAGGAGGAGGAGGAGGAGGAAGAGAAGAAGAGGAAGAGAGAAGAAGAAGAATAAGAAAGAAGAAGATAATAAGAAAATAAGAAGAAGAAGAAGAATAAGAAGAATAAGAATAAGAAGAAGAATAAGAAGAAGAAGAAGAAGAAGAAGAATAATAAGAGGAGGAGGAGGAGGAGGAGGAGGAGGAGGGGGGGGAGGTGAAGGAGGGGCAGGATGATGAGGACGAGGAGGAGGAGCAGGAGGAGAAGAAACTGGTCTGCTGCATGCAGTTGGTCTCGGCCCCGCCGCCAGGCGCTTTTCTCGATATTTGGTCGCTCCTCGCGCGCTGGGAGGCGCCTAGGAAATCAGCTGCGTGAGCTGATTCGCCATCCCCTGCACTTACTGACTAGGTGTATGTGTGTGTGTGCGTGTTTGCGTGTGTGTGTGTGTGTGTGTGTGTGTGTGTGTGTGTGTGTGTGTGTGTGTGTGTGTGTGTGTGTGTGTGTGGTGTGTGTGTGTGCGTGCGTGCGTGCGTGTGTGTGTGTGTGTGTGTGTGTGTGTGTGTGTGTGTGTGTGTGTGTGTGTTTGTTGTGTGCGTGTGCGTGTGCGTGTGCGTGCGTGCTTGCGCGTGTGTGCGTGTATTTTTTTTTTGTGTGTGTGTGTGTTTGTGCGTGTGCGCGCGCGTGTGTGCGTGTGTTTATGTGTGTGTGTGTATGTGTGCGTGTGTGTGTGTGTCTGTGTGTGTGCGTGTGTGTGTGTGTGTGTGTGTGCGTGTGTGTGTGTGCGTGAGAGTGTGTGTGTGTGTGTGCGTGCGTGTGTGTGTGTGTGTGTGTGTGTGTGTGTGTGTGTGTCTGTGCGTCTGTGTCACCCCGCCGGAGCAGTCTTCTTCTGCCCAGCCGCCGACGCACAAAAAAACGTGTGTCGCCCAGCGGCCTCTGCCGCGGGGCAGCACGCGGGCTTAGGCCGCCCTGCCTCGCCCTACCCCGCAGGGGGCTGGCGGACCTTCTCGCTCCCTTGCTCAGCTGGCGCGCGCGCGCCCGCAGACCTGCTGCTCGGCCTGGGGCCCGGCCCGGCCCGCGAACGTTCAAAAGTGTGTGTGTGGCTCCCTCGCGGCCGCTTTCGCCTGTCTTCCCCTCCTGCCGCCGGTCTCTTTACGCCCTCCGTTGCCGAGCGCGCGTGCGGACTGCCTCTGCCGCGCAGCGGTGTAAAAGTGTGTGTGTGTGTGTGTGTGTGTGTCTGTGTGTGTGTGCGCGTGTGTGTGTGTGTGTGTGTGTGTGTGTGTCTGTGTGTATGTGTGTGTGTGTGCGTGTATGTGTGTGCTAGGTGCTGTGAGATCCAAAGCGATTCCTGAGTGCCTGGCCGCGACCACGCGCTTCGCACTCTCAGTGGATGCGCCTCGCCGCCGCGCGCAAGGCCGCCTCCGCCAACAATAAGGTGTGTTTGTGTGTTTATGTGTGTGTATGTGTGTGTTTGTGCGTGCGTGTATTCGTGTCTGTGTGTGTGTGTGTCTGTGTATGTGTGTATGTGTGTATGTGTGTGCGTGTGTGCGTGTGTGCGTGTGTGCGTGTGCGTGTGCGTGTGTGTGTGTGTGTGTGTGTGTTTGTGTGCGTGCGTGTCCCTCCTCCTCCTCCTCTTGCATGTGGGTTGATTCGATGTGCCGTGCCCCGGTCGCGCCCCGACGCGCGTGGGGATCGCTCCTGCCGCGCTGCGGCGCAGAGGGCGCCTGCGCGCACTCGCGCGTGTGCGCGTGGACGTCTCGGCGGAGAGGCCACGCCGTGCCCCGGACCCTCGTGGCCCTCCCTCGTCTCTCCGCGCTTCTCCGGGCTTCGCCTCTCCGCGCGCATGCCTCGGGCCATGGAGGAGGAGGAGGAGGAGGAGGAGGAGGAGGAGGAGGAGGCGGAGGAGGAGGCGGAGGCGGCGGAGGCGGAGGAGGAGGAGGAGGAGGAGGAGGAGGAGGAGGGGGAGGGGGAGGAGGAGTAGGGATGAGGGGGCGCCGCCCCGCCCCCTCTTCCTGGCCCCGCTCCTCGGCGCGCCCAGGAGTCGGCGGGGGAAGGGGCCGACAGTGCCGTTTCTAATACATGTTCCGCGTGCGGATCATGTATTCAACATGCAGGGATTCAGTATCAAAAACAACGATGAGTTCATGCATACATTTAGCCATAAATTAATCATGTTTTTTTTTTGGGGGGGGGAAAACCTCCTCATGCATTAAAAACTGCCCTGGAGACCTCCGAAGGCTGGACTCCTCTGCGGCCCCAGCGCCTCTCCGCAGCCTAGGCCTCGAGGGGCCGTGCTCGGGCTCCTGGGGCGTCGAGCACGGGCCCCACGCGAGCATATGCTTCAAGGGGAACGGGCACAGACCTCCTCCTCCTCCTCCTCCGAAGCATTTATCATTCTCTCCGCCACCTCCCCCCTTCCACCCTCTCGAATCCAATTATAAACCTCGACGCGGCTTTCGCCGCCTTGCGGGAACTGCGTTTGGCGACGCCGAATCAGGCGGGCCGCCCTGGGCAGGTAGGGTGGGGGATGTCGTCGTCGTCGTCGTCGTTCTACGCTGGCCTCCTCCTCCGAAACATTGAACTGTTGAGTCCTTGTGCTTTCCCTCCGTTTCGGTATCTTGCGGGGGGGCCGTTCTAGGGATCCGCGGCACGGAAAAGAATCTGCCCCCAAAGGGGGTGCGCACGTGTTTCGGGAAGACAGAGTTTTGTCAATCCAGGTGCTTTCCCTTGGGTTCGGCCTCTGGGCTGATGTTTTCCAGCCCCCAGTCGAATATAGGTCCCGGCCAACAACTTGTCTCAGTGGTAAAGGGGTTCTGATTTCCGAAGCAGTGATTCTGTTCCGTTTTCCCCCTGTATCGGGCTCCGGGGTCTGTTTTCTGAAGGCCTTTCCACCTGTATCGGGCTCCGGGGGGCATTGGATGGAGAAGGCGCTGGTTCGCCCCGCCCTGGCGCCCGCGGATATCGACTCCAAATAAAATTCTGGAAGCGCGACCGCGAGAGGGGCGTTCGGATGAACCACCCCACCAACGCGTTGGCGAGACTGCAGCTCTACCGCGCCTCCGATGAGGAGAAAGAGCTGCAGATCGGGAGCCCCGAGCTCAGGCGCCTCCCCGTCTTCGATGCCGCGGCTGCGCAGTCCTTCGCGGATTTCGCTTTCGGTGGCAAGGTGTCCACCTGGATCGGGGCAGGTGAAGGAGGGGCCAGCGTTGTCGGCGCGCTGATGGAGGCGTTCCACAACGTGTGCTCTATCGACGCGGGCGCCGAGATTAGCCTGCCGCTGTTCCTGCCTGATCTCGTGCGGCAAGCGCATCCTCGACGTCCTGACGTTCATTCACGAGGGCTCTTTCGACGCGGGCTTCAAGGACGGCGTCGTGGACGACGTGGGCGAGCTGGGCGATGCTGGCTACAAGCCGAGTTGCAGCCCCGACGCGCGGGAGGTGGTCGGTCGCGCGGTCAAGGCGGCCGCCGAGCAAGACGGCGAGCTCACCGACGTGAAAGATCTCGCAGATAATCTCAAGCAGGTCTCGCCCAGGATCGCTCTGGCGAGGGAATCTTTCGCTTCGGTGCTGGGGCCGTCCGTCGAGGTCGCAGGTCAGCTCCTCCTCGTGGCGGGGGGCCTCCCCGATGTCCGCGCTAGGGCGAATGGTGCTGCAGACGCGTCCGAGAACGATCTGAAGCGCGCGGCCGCGACTGTGATGAAACGGCACTTGGATGCATGCGACGCGTCGCGAGTCGACGAGATGATTGCGGAGGGCGCGGAGCTGGCGAAGTGCGTCGCGACAGGCTGCGCAGAGCTCGCCAAATCCTTGATTGACGATTGCGTGGGCATCCGCGGAGTTGACCGGCGCCAAGAGTCGCTGCGCGAGCTTCCCGCGGCGCTCGAGGCTTCCACTTACAGGGCCAACGTGGCCGCCAATGCAAGCGCGCGGGCTGCACTTTGGGGGGCGGCAGCCAGGCGAAGGAGCTGAGCGAGATGCTCAGGACGTTTGACACCTGGAAGCTTGACGGGGTCAGGCGCGAGGCCGCCCAGGCTCTGCCCGCGCGCATCATTCGGCAGGCTTCTTGCGCTAATTTCAAGCGGCCTGGTGAAGAGAGCGAGATGCAGCTGCTTCAGGCCTGTCGTCCTTCTCGTCCTGTTCATCCTTCCAGTCCGCCTTCTCCTCGTCGTGATCCTTCTTCTCTGTTTCCCCTTCCGCGTCATCTCAACTCTGCCTCGGGCTCCGGTCGCGGCGGCGCCGGCCGCCTGCGCGAAGGGTTTCAAGCGGGCCGCTTCCATCGCTGCCCACGCGTCGAAAGGGATAGAACCCCTCGCCCCCCTGGCCTCGCTGGACAAAAAACCCTTTCCAAGAGCGAGGGCGGGGCAGACGCCGAGGGGGAGGTGGCTGTCGTGGGTGTCTTGGCGGACGAGCCGATCTCGCCCGCCCGCGCATCCAGACGGCCTCGGCAGGGGAGCTGAAGGGTCTTCTCAAGGAGGGGAAGGCCCTCTTGGAGGAACGCGGCACGGGGCACGGGTGCATTGGGGCGGCGACGTGCGCGCTCGCGTTGGCTTCGCTCCACGCGGCGCAGGCCGCATCGATGATGGGCGTGCGCGGCAGGAGTGCGGCGCATCGGTGGCCGATGCTTCCAACCAGTGGCCCCGAGGGATCAGGGGGCCCGACGGGTCGAGCTGCAAGTGGGCCTCGACCGAAGACCTGGGGAGCTCCCACTTGGACCTGAAGCTGGACCGAGGGCGCAGGGGGTCGAGGATTGGAGGGGAGGCTGGAAGAAATCGGGCCCCAGCCCGATATGCCCCACCCCTGCCCTCTCGCGCCTCGCCCCCAAGCGCCCCGCAGACCGCCGGGCTATCGAGGACGAGCGCGACGCCCAGAAGATCGGGATGAAGGGCTTCGTCGCGCTCGAGGGCGGCGCGGACTCCGTCGAGCCCGCGCTTGCCGCGAGGGAAGTCGCGAGCGTGCCGCTCGACGGCAATGCCGAGGGCGCCGTCTGGAAGCGGGGGCAGTTGGTGCCAGCGAGGTCGCGGTTCAAGGAGCAGCGCGGTGCACTTCCACGTTTGGCCCGCCAGGGTCGAGGCGGCGCGCGACGATGGCGCTGGAGATCCTGGCAGGCTTTCGCGCGGCACGTCTGCGAGGAGGTCAGGCGCGAGGGGCGAGTGGCGCTGCAAGGCGCCGGCCTTCATGGCGCGGCAAACAGCGGAAACAGCGAGGGGCGAGGAAGGGAGGGTGGAGAGTGGGGCGATGCCGCCGCCGCAGACGTCGCGGGCGTTGCGGAGTGCGGCACGGGGCGGGGCGGGTCGCCGCGCCCCGCGCGCGGAGCGCGCCCGCGCGCGAGGCGCGCGCCGGGCGCCCGCGCCCGCCGGGGCGCCGCCGCCCCGCCGCCGAGCCGGGCCTCTCTGCCTCCGCGGCCTCCTCGGAGGCTGACTTCCGGGCCTCCGCGGCCTCCCTGGGCGCGCTTTTTGAAGACACCTTCGGCGTGGCCGGCCCCCGTTCGCGCGCTGGGAGGGAAACATGAGGACTCGCCGTCATAGTGGCTCTTTCTTTGGAGACGAAAAGGGGCGCGCGCCGAAATCCATTCTAGACGAAATTGAGGTTTTTCTCAGAGTTTCAGTGCGCAGGCGCGCCCTGCCGCGCGGTGGTTCCCAGACGCACCTTAGAGCGTGCTGACGTATAATGCGAGGCATTCACATTGCACGTTGCGCATGCCATCGCGTGCAAATCACGCATGGCTTGAGCTACTTCGCAGACGCTTTCTGGTGAGGCCCTTCGAGGGCCCTCTCAGGGCCCGCCAGGGTCGCCGAGTGCCGCGAGCTTCCGGCAGCCATTGTCGACAGTTGGCAAAATCAACGTCGCCGAAATGGTCGCCGAAAGAGCCGTCGAAAGAGCCGCCGAGATTGCCGCCGAAGGAGCCGCCGAAAGAGCTGTCGGAAGGGCCGCCAGAATTGCCGCCGAAATTGCCGCCGAAATTGCCGCCGAACTCGTCGCCGAAATTGCCGCCGAAATTGCCGCCGAAATTGCCGCCGAAATTCCAGATGGTTCCGCCGAGAAAAGACCGAATTTGACCTTGGCTGTGACTCTATGCCTGTGTCTGCGGCGTCATCGCGCTTACTGGAACAGCGATTTCGCTTGCGACGGGGCAATGAAAATTTCGGCGGCTGAATTTCGGCGGCGATTTCGGCGGCTGATTTCCGGCGGCTATTTTGACGGAGTTCGCAATTATTTCGGCGGCAATTTCGGCGGCAATTTCGGCGGCAAGTTCGGCGGCAAGTTCGGCGGCAATTTCGGCGGCAATTTCGGCGGCGATTTCGGCGGCAATTTCGGCGGCAATTTCGGCGGCGATTTCGGCGACGATTTCGGCGGCCCTTTCGGCGGCCCTCCTGGCGGCCCTTTCAAGGACCATTTCGGCGGTTTTGCTTTTGACAGCTGTCGACGAATGCTGCTGGGGGCTCGCGGCGCTCAGCTTCGGTAAAGAGTCGATGTGCGGCGACGCAGACTGACTTGACCTCAGCCCGACGGTGATTGTAACATTTGTTATCTTGTGGTTTTGGCGGTGATGATGGCGACGGCCGCGGTAATGTTTGGTTCAACGTGGATGCTCGTCAGGGGGCATTACAGGCTGGCCTACGCGCCCAGCGCTGCATGCTTTCAAACAAGAAAAAATTATCGCGCAACTCCTTCGGAATTCGGCGGCTATTTGGGGGGCCGTGGTGGCTCCAAAGGGTTGTCCTCGGTGATCGCCGTGGCGTCGCGGCGCGCGTGCTTTTGCATTGGCAGTTTTCGCTGACACTGTGCGTTCCCAGACTATGTGGGACGCCCGTGCAAGGTATGGGGGCGGAACGATGCAAGATAAGTATGTGGGACAAAAGTAACAGATAAACATGTTGAGTGACCACGCATGTTGGCCATGTCTGCGCTAGATCGTAGGATGCACGCATGTATAATACTGTTGTCTGATGGCCATACAACACCTGGAGTATGTAGGATATCGATCGAGGTACAAGGAGGGCGACGTACCATAATGAGGACTGATGAACGGAACTGATTAGGATGATAAGGAAGACATGTATAGAGGAATGCGGTAATGTGGGTGCTTGGAAGCAAGTAGAAGCAGGCTCGATTATAATGAGGTAGACATGGGTAAAGAGACGATGTTGAGCGATATAAGGGTGAGGGTGGAGCATGACGTAACAATATGGAGGTGAATGAGGACTCTATTTGTTCTGGCTGATTTCTCAATCAGTCCCATAGTTTTTGTTGATATGTATTGGACGACGTCGGGAAACAATCGAACCATACATTTTGGATGTTTTCGTTGCTATTCCACGCTTTCCAGGCCCAGCGGGCCGTGAACATCGTAATCGTAATTGCCTCACCACCGTGGCGAAGCCGTGTGTAAAGGGGAAGCTGGATATTCAAGCAACGCCAGCCGTGTGCACGTCAAGGAAAGGGTATTTTTGTGGCGCGTTGGCGTTCTATCCGAGAGTTGGGCACTGGAGGCGAAGACCGCTTCTGCATTCGCCGCGCCGTCGACGTTACAGAGCAACTCATGGGCGCGTTGCTGCTGCTGCTGCTGCTTCGATGCATGTGCCACCTTCAGTTTTCTTTCGATCCTCGCCTCGGTCGATGCCTCCGTGTCGCAATGGTCCGGCCGCGCAGGCTACAGCTGGGTGCTCGGGCGCGGTGTGGTGCGCACGGGCAGACGAACAGTCCTCTCTACTGGCGTCGGCTGGGGGTCTGAAGTGGCCCGGCGCTGGTTCCGGCCAGCAGGGACGGGGGCGGGTTCGAGGCAGTGGGTTCGACAAAGGTTGTTTTTTTGTTCTCCCCTCTTCGGTCTTCGGGGGCCGCTTTGCGGGTCCCAGCAGGGCCGTCACAAATGGATTCGGGTGAAAAGTTGTAGCAGATGGACCATGTGAGGGGTCCAGGGGCCGGTTTTGAAGGGATTTGCTCTGATCCCCCCCCCTCTTGGCCGATGTTCTCGTGCACAATCAGCTCAGGCCCCCCTGGCCGCCTCCAGCCTGTCTGCTCGCACCCCTCCTTGCTGAGCGGCCGCCGCTGCTGCACTTCGCTTGTGCGTTCCGTGATGCGGCTTCGTCGTGTTTGTTGCCGCCGGCACAGTCGTGCACCATCGGTGTCCGTATCGGGAGCTCTGCGTGTCCGATCCAGAGTTAGGAGCTTCTTGGAAGGTATGAGTCGCAGCTCGCCAGAGCACCACAGCCGTGCAACACCGCGCAACAATGTGCTACACCGCGCAGCGCCGCACAACACCGCGCAACACGTTGCAACAGCGCGCAACACCTCGCCCTTTCACTGAGCGTCGTTGGGCGGTGTTGCGCGGTGTAGGTTTCCAAGTCGTTTAACTGAGGCTTCTTTGGATCGTACACGCAAGCAATATGGCAGGCTGGATGTTGCAATTGCCGCCGTCGTTCTGATCGCCTATTGGGTCTTCCTGAGGCGATCAGGGGGGTGGTATATTTGACCGTTTTGGCCGTTTTGAAGCCCGAGCAGGCGGGCATGCTAATTTTGTTTGAGCCTTGACGGGTCATGGATGTGTGTGTGTGTGTGTTCCCGAAGCTTTGAGTTGGGTTCTTGCTTTGTCAGAACACACTCTTATCCTCTCTCCCGTTCTCTTCTCTTTTCCTTTTCCTCGTAGGCGCTAGACATCCATATTCACGGCCTCGCGGGCACGGCCTCTGGGTCGCGACCCCGTCCATACGGGGTGCATTTTCTTGAATGCCCCGCGCGGAACGTATTCATGCGACAGGGTATCCACGGGATCGAACTCCAGACTTCAGTCCGCCAGGGCGTGGACATGGACATGTTCGTCGCTCGTGACCTCCTGCGTCACCTCCTGCTGCGTGCACTTCCACCGAACTAGTCGCCTCGCCCGGCGGGCAATAGTCGTATGATTTAGTTCACATGCCCGCCCCGTCAGAGGTCGGACGACGTTCGCACGGCGATATTCCGACGCAAATCCGACGTGAACCCGACGAGCACGACGCAATCCGACGTGAATCCGATGTAGATCCGACATGCATTGGGTCTCAAGTTGCCTCGTGAGGCCTCCAGGATTTTCTTCATAACACTGTACTCGGAAGGCATCGTGCCC